TGGAGAAGAGGAGGATAAGTGGAGAAGAAGGAGGAGAGGAGGGAGGAGAAGAGGTGAATAAGTGATTATAGAAGAGGAGGAGGAGGAGAAGAGGAGAATAAGTGGAGAAGAGGAGGAGGAGAATAAGTTTGGAGAAGAGGAGAATAAGTGGAGGAAGAGGAGGAGGAGAATAAGTGGGAGAAGAGGAGGAGAATAAGTGGAGAAGAGGAGGAGAATAATAAGTGGAGTGAAGAGGGAGTGGAGGAGAAGAGGAGAATAAGTGGAGAAGAGGAGGAGAATAAGTGGAGAAGAGGAGGAGGAGAAAAGAAGAGGAGAATTAGTGGAGAAGAGGAGGAGGAGAAAGAGGGTAGAAGAGGAGAAGAGGAGAAAGAGGAGAATAAGTGGAGAAGAGGAGAATAAGAGGAGGAAGGAGGAGAAGAGAAGAAGAGGAGGAGGAGAGGTGAGAGGAGAGGAGAAGAAGAGGAGGAGGAGGAAGAGGAGAAGAAGGAGGAGGAGGGAGGGCAAGAGGAGAAGAAGAAGAAGAAGAAGAAAGAGGAGAAGAAGAAGAAGAAGAAGAAGAAGAAGAAGAAGAAGAAGAAGAAGAGAAGAAAGAGAGAAGAAGAAGAAGAAAGAGGAGAAGAAGAAGAAAGAAAGAGGAGAAGGGAAGAAGAAAGAGGAGAAGAAGAAGAAGAAAAGAGGAGAATGGAAGAAGAAGAAAGAGGGAAGAAAGAAGAAGAAAGAGGGAAGAAGAAGAAGAAGAAGAGGGAGAAGAAGAAGAAGAAGAAGGGGGGAAGAAGAAGATGTTGAAAGGAGAAAAAGAAGAAAGGAGAAGAAGAAGAGGAGAAAATCGAAAAGAAGAGGAGAAGAAGAAGAGGAGAAGAAGAAGAGGAGAAGAAGAAGAGGGAGAGGAAAGAGAACAGGAGAAGAGAACAGGAGAGGAAAAAAAGAGGAGAAAAAGAGAAGATAGAAAAAGAAAAAAAAAAGAGGAGAAGAAAGAGGAGAGGAAGAAGAAGAGGAAAGAAGAAGAGGAGGAAAAAAGAAAAGAAGAAGAGGAGAAGAAGAAGAAGAAGAAGAAAGAAGAGGAGAAAAAGGAGAAGAAGAGGAGAAGAAGAGGAGAAGAAGAGGAGAAGAAGAGGAGAAGAAGAGGAAAAAAAAGGAGAAGAAAGGAAAGAAGAGGAGAGGAGGAGAAGAAGAGAAGAAGAGGAGGAGAAGAAGAGAAGAAAAAGGAAAAGAAGAAGAGGAGGAGAAGAAAAAGAGGAAAGAGGAGAAGAGGAGAAGAGGAGAGAGGAGAGGAAAGAGAAAAGAGGAAAAAACAAAGAGGAGAAGAGAGGAGAAAAAAGGAGAGGAAAAAAAGGAGAAGGAAACAGGAGACAAAAGAACAGGAGAGGAGAACAGGAGAGGAGAAACAGAGAGAGGAAACAGGAGAGGAGAACAGGAGAGGAGAACAGGAGAGGAGAAAGGAAGAGGAGAACAGGAGAGGAGAACAGGAGAAAAGAAACAGGAGAAAAAAGAAGAGGAGAAAAAGAAGATAGAGGAGAAGAGAGAGGAGAGAGAGGAGAAGAAAGGAGAGGAGAAAAAGAAAAAGAGGAGAGAAAAGAAAGAAGAGGAGAGGAGAAGAAGAGAAGTGGAGAAGAGAGAGAGAGGAGGAGAAGAAAGAAGAGAGAGAAGAGAAGAGGAAAGAGGAGAGAAAAAAAGAAAAAGAAGAGAGGGGAAGGAGGAAAGAGAGAGGAGGGAAATAGTGAGGGTAAAAAAAAGAAAAAAAGTGTGAGGAGTCAATAAGTGGAAAAAAGAAAGAAAATGAAAAAAGGAGGGGAAGGAGGAGGAAAGGACAAGACAAAAAAAAAGGGAAGGAGGAAGAGGAAAAACAAAAAAAGGGAAGGAGGGGAAGGAACACAGGGAATGGGAAGGAGGAGGAGGACACAGGGAAAAAAGAAGGAGGAGGAACAGGGAAGGAAGAGGGAAAAAACGAAAACGCAGGGAAAGGGAAGGAGGAGGAGGAGGACACAGGGAAAGGGTAGGAGGAGGAGGAGGACACGGACACAAAAAAAAAAAGGAGGAGGAGGAGGACACGGACACAGGGAAAGGGAAAAGGAGGAGGACACGGACACAAAAAAAGGGAAGGAAAAGGAGGAAAACACAGGGAAGGAGGAAAACGACACGGACAAGGGAAGGGAAAAAAAAAAAAAGGAAAAAAAAAGGACCCAAAAAGGAGGACAAAAAAAAACAAAAATGGGAAGGAGGAAAAAAAGGGAAAAGGAGGAAACAGGGAAAGGGAAAAAGGAAAAGGAGGACAAGGAAAAAAAAAAAAGGAAAACACGGACACAAAAGGAAGGACAAAAAAATAAAGGAGGAAAAAAGGACAAAAACAAGGGGAAGAAAAAAGGAGGAGGAAAAACGGACAAAAGGAAAAAAGGAAAAGGACAGGAAACAGGGAAAAAGGAAAGGAGGAAGAAAAAACGGAAAAGGGAAGGAGGAAAACACGGAACAGGGGGAGGAAAAAAGGCGGAACGGACAAAGGAAAGGCGGACACAAAAAAAAGGAGGAGGAAAAGGGAAAAGGAGGAAAACAAAAAAAAAAGGAAAAAAAAAAAAAAGGGAAAAAAAAAAAAAAAAAAAAAAGGACAAGGGAAGGAAAAAAAAAAAAAAAACACGGACAAAAAAAAAAAAAGAAAGAAAAAAAAAGGAGGAGGAAAAAAAAAAAAAAAGGAGGAGGACACAAAAAAAAAAAAAAAAGGACGAAAAAAAAAACAAAAGGAGGAAAGGAAAAAGTAAAAAAAAAAGGGGGAAGGAGGAGGACACAAAAGGAAAAGGAGGAGGACAAAAAAAAGGAAAAAAAAGGACGACAGGAACACAAAAAAAAAAAAAAGGAGGAGGAGGACACAGAAAAAAAAAAAAAAAAGGAAAAAGAGGAAGGAGGAAAAACAGGAACACAGGGAAAGGGAAGGAGGAGGAGGACACGAACACAGGAAAAAAAAAAAGGAGGAGGAAAACACGGACACAGGGAAAGAGAAAAGGAAAAAGAAAAGGACAAAAAACACAAAAAGGAAAGGACAGGAACAAAGGGAAGGAGGAAGGAACAGGGAAGGAAAAGGACAGGGACAGGGAAGGAGGAGGAGGAAAGGGAAAACACAGGGAAGGAGGAGGACAGGGACACAGGGAGGAGGAGGACAGGGACACAGACACAGGGAGGAGGAGGACAGGGACACAGGGAGGAGGAGGACAGGGACACAGGGAGGAGGAGGACAGGGACACAGGGAGGAGGAGGACAGGAACACAGGGAGGAGGAGGACAGGAACACAGGGAGGAGGAGGACACAGGGAATGGGAAGGAGTCAGAAGATGAAGATTGTTCCTGCAGTGGAGGTCGATGTCGCGGTTCATCTCTCATATCAGCGAATAATCGTCGTGGTGTTTATTTTCGGGCGCTCAGACAGGACGGGGTCACCGACTCATCTAAACATTCCTGGTCTCTTGCTGCTGCTGAGATTCCACATCGTTCCGCCTGCCAATGACAACTGTTGTCTTTACCCCTCGCGCCGGCTTCGCGCGGTCTGCCGCTATTGTGACACAGCGAGAGGCGCCATAAAAAAAAGAATAGACATGGCGCTGGGATTAAACACTCTTCACAGTTGAGTCACGTTGAGGTCGAAGGGTAAAGTGGACTGGTCTGTAGACAACACTCGCAGTCATTCTCTACTCTCCACCAATCACTGCGCTCGGATGTTGCCCTTTATGGCTTCGTATTTTTCCTTCCCTGGCTCCTCCCTCATCAACACGCTAATAAAATTTTACATAAAACCTGTTTTTTATTACATATCTTATATTTTTTTTAGTCCCAGTGACTTCATCACTGGGTCTCTGCGCTTCTCTATGCAATGCGGGTAGATTGTGGCTGGTGGGAGGGGCTGTACATAGCATCCTGAAAACATCACAGCACCCCGCCGCAGCACTCCTCTCGAGCGTCCTCAGTCCAGTTTCAAGCAGTGGGCGGGCTCTCGGGCAGAGATATGTAAATATCAAAATGCCTTGATGGGTGGATGTCAGTCTGGAGGAGTGGGCGTTCCCAGGCCGGCTGTATTTGCATGGAGACCGCCCACATGTGATGCTGAACCTCCCAGACTGAAAGTGCTCAATTCCAATAAATGAAAGGGGCGGGGCCAGGGACAGTTAGGCTGGGGGGAAGAAGTGGTGAGGCCAGGGACAGTGAGGCTGAGGGGAAGTCGTGAGGCCAGGGACAGCGAGGCTGAGGGGAAGTGGTGAGGCCAGGGACAGCGAGGCTGAGGGGAAGTGGTGAGGCCAGGGACAGTCAGGCTGGGGGGAAGAGGCGGGGCCAGGGACAGTCAGGCTGGGGGAAGTGGTGAGGCCAGGGACAGTGAGGCTGGGGGGAAGTGGTGAGGCCAGGGACAGTGAGGCTGGGGGGAAGTGGTGAGGCCAGGGACAGTGAGGCTGGGGGGAAGAGGCGGGGCCAGGGACAGTGAGGCTGGGGGGGAAGAGGTGAGGCCAGGGACAGTGAGGCTGGGGGGAAGTGGTGAGGCCAGGGACAGTGAGGCTGGGGGAAAGGGGCGGGGCCAGGGACAGTGAGGCTGGGGGGAAGAGGTGAGGCCAGGGACAGTGAGGCTGGGGGGAAGTGGTGAGGCCAGGGACAGTGAGGCTGGGGGGAAGAGGCGGGGCCAGGGACAGTGAGGCTGGGGGGGAAAGGGGCGGGGCCAGTGACAGTGAGGCTGGGGGAAAGGGGCGGGGCCAGTGACAGTGAGGCTGGGGGGAAGAGGTGGGGCCAGGGAGAGTGAGGCTGGGGGGGAAGAGGCGGGGCCAGGGAGAGTGAGGCTGGGGGGAAGAGGCGGGGCCAGGGACAGTGAGGCTGGGGGGAAGAGGCGGGGCCAGGGACAGTGAGGCTGGGGGGAAGAGGCGGGGCCAGGGACAGTGAGGCTGGGGGGGGGAAAGGGGCAGGGCCAGGGACAGTTACGCTGGTGATGAAAGAGCTAGATGATGCTGGGCGTCCTCCAGCCAGGAAATGAAGCGTTACCTCAGCTTGTCCGCCACAAAGATGACTCGTCTCTCCAGGAGCAGCGAGGCGAATATCCGGATGATTTGTCGGACGCTGAGACATGTAAAGAGGCATTCAAAGTCGACGTGCTCCAGGCGGGAGTCCATGGGCCGACGCAGCTCAATGACCTGCAAACAGCGAGAATTAAAGGGGGAATCATCAGTCCGACCCGTCCGCACAGTCATCTCCCGCAGATTGTTGGCACTGCAATAGCTCCTCCCACCTCACGTGTTGTCATGTGGCATCACTCAGGAGTGTAATTCCCATCACTGCCCTCCCCCGCCCACCCTCTGCAGACTTTATATCACGGGGTGATCCAAAGAGGGTACCACGTGCCCATACAGAGTATAATGTGTCCATAGAGGGTGTCACGTGCCCATAGAGGGTGTCCAGTGATTATAGAGGGGGTCACGCGCCCAGAGAGGGTGTCACGTGTCCAGAGAGGGTGTCCAGTGATTATAGAGGGGGTCACGCGCCCAGAGAGGGTGTCACGTGTCCAGAGAGGGTGTCACGCGTCCAGAGAGGGTGTCACGTGTCCAGAGAGGGTGTCACGTGATTATAGAGGGTGTCACGCGCCCAGAGAGGGTGTCACGCGCCCAGAGAGGGTGTCACGCGCCCAGAGAGGGTGTCACGCGCCCAGAGAGGGGGTGTCACGCGCCCAGAGAGGGTGTCACGCGCCCAGAGAGGGTGTCACGCGCCCAGAGAGGGTGTCACGCGCCCAGAGAGGGTGTCACGCGCCCAGAGAGGGTGTCACGCGCCCAGAGAGGGTGTCATCTGTCGTACCTCATTGCCGTGACCCCGGCAGAAACGTCTTCACTCGGATGGTTTTCCCGGGAGCCGGAAATGGAGACTCCATCAGACTTCTCATGAAGGGATAGACCAGAGCCGCCGAGATCCCCCTCCGCCTCTCCACCTCGTCCAGGATCTGCCGCAACAAAACCAACCGCACTCAGCTGTGTGGTCAACCCCTCCCCCACCACCTTCCCCTTCGTCCCACATCCCCCATCATCCCACATCCTCCCCCATCATCTCACATCCCCCCCCATCATCCCACATCCTCCCCCCCTCATCTCACATATCCCACATCCTCCCCCCCTCATCTCACATATCCCACATCCCCCCCCCCCCCCCCCCCCCCCCCCCCCCATATCCCATCCCACCCCCACCCCCTCCCTCCCCCTCATCAACGCCCTTAAATAAAACCTTTCCATTTTCATTGCAGACTTCACTTCAGATGCATCACTGGGTCTCTGTGCTTCTCTATGCAATTCCGGCAAAACATGGCTGGTAGGAGGGGCTGGCAGGGTGCTGTTTACAACCTGCTCTTCAGGAACAGGTCCAAGCAGTAAATCCCAAACCTAGTCCATGTAAGCTCAGCAGACACTCCTCAGCCCTGATGAAGGGTGAGCCCGGCCCCTGAAACACGTTGCAGTTATTTCTGCTATGAATCCATTTTATCGTTGGAAACTCTGGATGTTTGTTTAGGGCTCACATTGGACTGTATGTGCCTGCAGACTGCCATAAATAAAACCAAAATGCAATCCCAAGCCTCCTTGATTGAAAGAGCCGCGTCTCTGTGCTTCTCTATGTAATGCAGGCAGATCATGGCTGGTGGGAGGGGCCGGCAGGGGGGTTGTACATAGCTTCCTGAGAACATCCCAGCACCCTGCCTCAGTACTCTTGTCAACAGCCCTCAGTCCTGATGCAAACAGTGGGAGGAGTTATGCAAATGTTATCACTGGGTCTCTGTGCATTCTTCTCTTTTCTATTTACGGGGGTTGTGCTGAGAGGAATTATATTTGTAAGGGATGGGGGGGGGGGGGGGGGGATTCCAGCTTCGGAGAGGTAAGGAGGATATTTGGCATTGGGGGAGGGGCCTGAAGACTGCAGGCTGATCACATAACCCTCCCCCGCACTGATCACATGGTCCTCCCCCGCACTGATCACATGGCCCTCCCCCCGCACTGATCACATGGCCCTCCCCCGATCACATGGCCCTCCCCCGGTCACATGGCCCTCCCCCGGTCACATGGCCCTCCCCCCGCACTGGTCACATGGCCCTCCCCCCGCACTGGTCACATGGCCCTCCTCCCGCACTGGTCACATGGCCCTCCCCCCGCACTGGTCACATGGCCCTCCCCCCGCACTGGTCACATGGCCCCTCCCCCCGCACTGGTCACATGGCCCTCCCCCCGCACTGGTCACATGGCCCTCCCCCGCACTGATCACATGCCCCCCCCCCCCCCGCACTGATCACATGACCCTCCCCCGCACTGATCACATGACCCTCCCCGTTTTGAGCCCATTTTCAAAGATTTAAGAATCGGCTAACAAAGATTATTCTGTTAATAAAAAGAAAACTCTTCTCCACAGATGTCCGTCCCCCGAGGACCCTGGCAAAAATCTGGAGCCTCATGGGGTGGGTGTGGTTATGTTGATACAGTGGGGGGAGGGGGGGGGGGGGGAGGCGGTTCCGGCAAAGCTTTTCCCGCTGTCCAATAATCGTCGTCCCGATATACAGAGGATTGTGAACGCCATTTCCTTTTTCCCCCGGATCTCATAATCAAAGAAGAATCTCACCTTGGAGAAGAGATCGAAGCATCCCAGCCGGCTTATGACACAGTACACCTCGGGGAGCCGCGGACCCTTCCCACTGGGCTGGCAGAGAGAGAGAAAACAAGTTGTTAGTAAATCCATGCGCTGAAAACACTCCGCCCCCCCCCCTGCCCCCCGCTCGCTTAATGACCACCGCAGGTAAAACAACACACCCAACGTCTGCTTACATTGATCTGCTTACATTGCATAGAGAAGCACAGAGACCCAGTGATGTCATTATGTTGGTGGGGGGGGGGCAGGGAAGGCAAAATATAAGCAGATTTAAGGCAATGAGCAAAATAGCCTCTCAGAATCCCAACAGATCGATCAACAGGCTTGTCATAGAGAATTCCTATGTGGCATCTGAACTACTGTAACTGTAAAGAATACTTTCTGTGAAGAATCCCTTCCTGTAGTGGGGGTGGAGTCATCATTCCTCCATCAACAGCTGATGACACCCCTCCTCCTCTCCCCTCTCCATCCTCCTCCTCCGAGAACTGACGCCAAAACTTTTCTTTTCCATTTAGATATAGTAAGGGAGAGTTATAACCCCTGTCAGTGTGTCCCCTCCCCCGCAGTCCCATCAGTCTCCGTACCAGAGGAGCTTACGCTCTAATGCCCCCTCCCCCGCAGTCCCATCAGTCTCCGTACCAGAGGAGCTTACACTCTAATGTCCCCCCCCCCCGCAGTCCCATCAGTCTCTGTACCAGAGGAGCTTACACTCTAATGCCCCCTCCCCCGCAGTCCCATCAGTCTCCGTACCAGAGGAGCTTACACTCTAATGCCCCCTCCCCCGCAGTCCCATCAGTCTCCGTACCAGAGGAGCTTACACTCTAATGTCCCCTCCCCCGCAGTCCCATCAGTCTCCGTACCAGAGGAGCTTACACTCTAATGTCCCCTCCCCGCAGTCCCATCAGTCTCCGAACCAGAGGAGCTTACACTCTAATGTCCCCTCCCCCCGCAGTCCCATCAGTCTCCGTACCAGAGGAGCTTACGCTCTAATGTCCCCTCCCCCACAGTCACATCAGTCTCTGTACAGAGGAGCTTACACTCTAATGTCCCCTCCCCCCCCCACAGTCCCATCAGTCTCCGTACCAGAGGAGCTTACACACTAATGTCCCCTCCCCCACAGTCACATCAGTCTCTGTACCAGAGGAGCTTACGCTCTAATGTCCCCTCCCCCACAGTCACATCAGTCTCTGTACCGAAGGAGCTTACGCTCTAATGTCCCCTCCCCCACAGTCCCATCAGTCTCTGTACCAGAGGAGCTTACGCTCTCATTTCCCCTCCCCCACAGTCCCATCAGTCTCTGTACCGAAGGAGCTTACGCTCTAATGTCCCCTCCCCCACAGTCCCATCAGTCTCTGTACCAGAGGAGCTTACGCTCTCATTTCCCCTCCCCCACAGTCCCATCAGTCTCTGTACCAGAGGAGCTTACGCTCTAATGTCCCCTCCCCCACAGTCACATCAGTCCCTGTACCAGAGGAGCTTGCGTTCTAATGTCCCCTCCCCCACAGTCCCATCAGTCTCTGTACCAGAGGAGCTTACGCTCTAATGTCCCCTCCCCCACAGTCACATCAGTCTCTGTACCGAAGGAGCTTACGCTCTAATGTCCCCTCCCCCACAGTCCCATCAGTCTCTGTACCAGAGGAGCTTACGCTCTCATTTCCCCTCCCCCACAGTCCCATCAGTCTCTGTACCAGAGGAGCTTACGCTCTAATGTCCCCTCCCCCACAGTCACATCAGTCCCTGTACCAGAGGAGCTTACACTCTCATTTCCCTGCAGTGACAGGTCCAGAGACTCTGCCGATTCCTGGGACGGGGTGATGGATCTCTGTGGGCCGTGTACAGCGAGGGGTTAATCTCTCTTTTTTTTGCCCATATTAGGCAGAGGAGACGGCCGGCCGTGGCGATGGAATCGAGTATTTTGGATTTTTTGGTTGGACTCCATTGTGTCAGATATGAAGGAATGCCTGCAGCGGGCCAGAGACGTTGGCTGCGGCTCTGCAGCTGGATGCCAGTAAAAGCATCGAATTCCTGGGTCACCGAGGCGTCCAGAACACTCGGCCCGGAGCGCAGGCGAGGAATTCACACCATGAAATATAGAGGACGAGTGGAACCTGACGGCTGTGCCGGGGGACCGCAACTGACTGCAACTGACCGCAGCTGACTGCAACTGACCGCAACTGACTGCAACTGACCGCAACTGACCGCAATTCGGGGGAAATGGGCTCTGCGATCCTACAGCAACAATGTAACCATTTACAGCAGAACTCCAACCTCCCCTTCAGTCTTGCACAGGTGTACCGGCTCCTCCCCTCCAGTCTTGCACAGGTGTACCGGCTCCTCCCCTCCAGTCTTCCACAGGTGTACCGGCTCCTCCCCTTCAGTCTTCCACAGGTGTACCGGCTCCTCCCCTCCAGTCTTGCACAGCTGTAGCGGCTCCTCCCCTCCAGTCTTGCACAGCTGTAGCGGCTCCTCCCCTCCAGTCTTGCACAGCTGTAGCGGCTCCTCCCCTCCAGTCGTGCACAGGTGTAGCGGCTCCTCCCCTTCAGTCTTGCACAGGTGTACCGGCTCCTCCCCTCCAGTCTTGCACAGGTGTACCGGCTCCTCCCCTCCAGTCTTGCACAGGTGTACCGGCTCCTCCCCTTCAGTCTGGCACAGGTGTACCGGCTCCTCCCCTTCAGTCTGGCACAGGTGTACCGGCTCCTCCCCTTCAGTCTGGCACAGGTGTACCGGCTCCTCCCCTTCAGTCTGGCACAGGTGTACCGGCTCCTCCCCTTCAGTCTGGCACAGGTGTACCGGCTCCTCCCCTTCAGTCTGGCACAGGTGTACCGGCTCCTCCCCTTCAGTCTTCCACAGGTTGTACCGGCTCCTCCCCTTCAGTCTTCCACAGGTGTACCGGCTCCTCCCCTTCAGTCTTCCACAGGTGTACCGGCTCCTCCCCTTCAGTCTTCCACAGGTGTACCGGCTCCTCCCCTTCAGTCTTCCACAGGTGTACCGGCTCCTCCCCTTCAGTCTTGCACAGGTGTACCGGCTCCTCCCCTCCAGTCTTGCACAGGTGTACCGGCTCCTCCCCTCCAGTCTTGCACAGCTGTAGCGGCTCCTCCCCTCCAGTCGTGCACAGGTGTAGCGGCTCCTCCCTTCAGTCTTGCACAGGTGTACCGGCTCCTCCCCTCCAATCTTGCACAGGTGTACCGGCTCCTCCCCTTCAGTCTGGCACAGGTGTACCGGCTCCTCCCCTTCAGTCTGGCACAGGTGTACCGGCTCCTCCCCTTCAGTCTGGCACAGGTGTACCGGCTCCTCCCCTTCAGTCTGGCACAGGTGTACCGGCTCCTCCCCTTCAGTCTGGCACAGGTGTACCGGCTCCTCCCCTTCAGTCTGGCACAGGTGTACCGGCTCCTCCCCTTCACTCTTGCACAGGTGTGCCGGCTCCTCCCCTTCAGTCTTGCACAGGTGTGCCGGCTCCTCCCCTTCAGTCTTGCACAGGTGTACCGGCTCCTCCCCTTCAGTCTTGCACAGGTGTACCGGCTCCTCCCCTTCAGTCTTTCACTGTTGTACCTGATAGTGACAACAGTGGACCACGTCATGTGTGTTGAATGGTCGCTTGTAGAAGCAGGTGGGATCAGGGTGACTACACAGGAGCACAATTCAGAGATAACGACAAAGCGTTGTCACCCTATCACAGGAAGTGGCTGCAGGTTTATAGATTGAAGAATGACTTTTGTAAGGACAATAACATGTTAAATGATTTTCGGGAGATTTCAGCGATCGAGTTTATATTTAGCAGGACGCATAGAATGAGGCCGGGGAGCAGAAATACACAAAGTAACCAGAGCAAACGTTCAGGAAATGGGATTTTCTTGGCGTTGTTCCTCCGGTTGGTCGGAGGAACGCAGATGACATTTTCCAGGAGCCGATCTGTAAGATCTCCTATTAATAGGAGGACGATAAATACAGAAATACAATCCAGAGACGCGTCCGGAGAAAAAAGGTATCAGAACATTTCCTTCCAAATCACAAAAGCTGGCAAATGCGTCCTGAAAACATCTGGAGCGACCTGATTGGTGCAGCGGAACACGCAGTTCTTTGGAAGACGAACAAAATGCTGGACGAGGTTTCAAGTTCATCTGCTTTATATTTTTGTATACTTTGCATCCTCTTTTTTTTTTTTTTTTGTGTGTGTGTGAAAAAAAACGAAAAAACGTGCAAGTGCTAAACACAAAAAAGTGTACTTATGGGTGTGCTTTAGTCCCCGAAGGGGTAGGACCTCTACCCTGATCCCCCGGGGCGCGAGGCTCCTGACATGGTCTACCCGAAGGGGTAGGACCTCTACCCTGATCCCCCGGGGCGCGAGGCTCCTGACATGGTCTACCCGAAGGGGTAGGACCTCTACCCTGATCCCCCGGGGCGCGAGGCTCCTGACATGGTCTACCTAGCCATGGTCTACACCAGGGGTCTGCAACCTTTAAGACATAAAGAGCCACTTGGACCCGTTTCCGAAGGGAAAAAAAAGACTTAGAGCCGCAAAACCATTGCAACATTTATAACAAATCCGACACTGCATATATTGCAAAAAGCACTCTGGTCATGAAGGGGGTTTAAGGGCCCAGTAAGCAAAGGGTTAATCAGGGCCACAGTGTATCTTCATAATCACAATCATAGCCTTAGGTCAGTGGTGGGCAACCTTTTTTTTCAACTGAGCCAAATCTCGCCAAAACCACGATTGAAATTTATTTTGACAGCCACATTTTTAAAACTGAAAATACATCCCCCATATAGTAATTCATCCCCCATAGTAATTCATCCCCCATATAGTAATTCATCCCCCACATAGTAATTCATCCCCCATAGTAATTCATCCCCCACATAGTAATTCATCCCCCCTATAGTAATTCATCCCCCCTATAGTAATTCATCCCCCATATAGTAATTCATCCCCCATAGTAATTCATCCCCCATATAGTAATTCATCCCCCATAGCAATTCATCCCCCATAGCAATTCATCCCCCATAGTAATTCATCCCCCATAGTAATTCATCCCCCATATAGTAATTCATCCCCCATATAGTAATTCATCCCCCATATAGTAATTCATCCCCCATATAGTAATTCATCCCCCATAGTAATTCATCCCCCATATAGTAATTCATCCCCCATATAGTAATTCATCCCCCATATAGTAATTTATCCCCCATAGTAATTCATCCCCCCTATAGTAATTCATCCCCTATAGTAATTCTTCCCCCATAGTAATTCATCCCCCACATAGTAATTCATCCCCCATAGTAATTCATCCCCCACATAGTAATTCATCCCCCACACAGTAATTCATCCCCCACACAGTAATTCATCCCCCACACAGTAATTCATCCCCCATATTGTCTCAATTCACTTACCTTTGCTCCGCGCGTTCCTCTCGCTGTGTTCCCGCGCCGTTCTGGTCTTCAGGGCGGACTGAGAGAGGAGTTCGTCACTCTGCCCCGCCTACATCCTGGCTGCCCCACCTACATCCTGACAGCCAATGTTCCACGCTCCGCGGGCCGGATATTTGAGGAGGGAGGGGAGCGGGCGCCCGGCACACAGAAGAGCCGCATGTGGCTCGCGATCTGCGGCTTGCCGACCACCTGGTGGGCAGTGTGCTCCGGAGCCGCAGCAAAGATGAAAAAGAGCCGCATGCGGCTCTGGAGCCGCGGGTTGCCGACACCCGGTCTACACGAAGGGTTAGGACCTCTACCCTGATCCCCCCGGGGCGCGAGGCTCCTGACAGGGACTGAGATTTCCACATGGTCCACCTAGTGAAGAGGCCTGGTGGACCCCTTTCCTTGTGGCTAGCCGAAGCCGACCACCAAGGACTCTCTGCCTCCCCGGCCCCTGGCCAGACAAGGTAGATCTATTTGAATCAGGAGGAACTGGGCACCTCCGATTTTTCCAGGGCAATTCCAGGGCACCACGGTTTCTGTTCCAGCTAGGTACTTGGGATCGCACCCCCATGTGCTACTAAGAGCACCCCTGAGGTGACCACTCAGGGGGCACTGCTCCGCGGGCTCTCTGCCTCCCTGGCCAGACAAGGTAGATCCGTTAGCATCAGGAGGAACTGGGCCCCAACTACCTGTAGGCAACATGGTTTCTGTTCCAACACAAGCCTTCAGAGCCCCCATCATACCAGCAGGGGTACTTTACAGCCAACCATCCTCACCAAGAAGCAAGAATGGTCTACTGGACACTGATGAGAATAGTTTTTTTTTTTTTGTGAAGTGCGAAAAAAAAAACGAAAAAACCCGTAAGTGAACCAAAAACGTGCAAGTGCAAAACACCAACACAAAAAAGCACACTTAGGGGTCCTACCCCCCCGAGGGGATAGGACCTCTATGCTGATCCCCCGGGACACGAGGCTCCTGACATGGTCTACCCGAAGGGTTAGGACCTCTACCCTGATCCCCCAGGGCACGAGGCTCCTGCCATGGTCTACACAAAGGGTTAGGACCCCTACCCTGATCCCCAGGGGCACGAGGCTCCTGACATGGTCTACCTAGCCATGGTCTACACAAAGGGTTAGGACCCCTACCCTGATCCCCCAGGGCACTAGGCTCCTGACATGGTCTACCCGAAGGGTTAGGACCTCTACCCTGATCCCCCAGGGCACGAGCCTCCTGACATGGTCTACCTAGCCATGGTCTACCCGAAGGGGTAGGAGGACCTCTACCCTGATCCCCTGGGGCACGAGGCTCCTGACATGGTCTACCTAGCCATGGTCTACCCGAAGGGGTAGGAGGACCTCTACCCTGATCCCCTGGGGCACGAGGCTCCTGACATGGTCTACCTAGCCATGGTCTACCCGAAGGGGTAGGAGGACCTCTACCCTGATCCCCCGGGGCACAAGGCTCCTGACATGGTCTACCTAGCCATGGTCTACCTAGCGGATCCCTTTCCTTGTGGCTTGCCGAAGCTGACCACCAAGTACTAGGTCAGGGGGCGCTCCAGAAGAGTCCTCTAGACTTCAGGGCAGGCCTGAGTACACACACCCTACCATACGTGAGAAAAAAAAAACACACACACACATAAGTGGAAGTGACTCAAACGTGGCCGTGCAATTGGCCCTGAGAGAGTTTCAAAGAAGATTGGTTGATAGTGAGTTATGTCCGAGGGAGGGGTGTAGGTGTGTGGAGCATGTGTTGGGAAGAGTGAAGCCAACCACCAAGTATTAGGTCAATTGTGCACCTGAGGGCTGTAGCATAAAAATGGCACCAGAAGGCCTAGCCCTAGCAGAAAAAAGTGTTTGAAGCAGTGAACATGTGCACCTTTCACATGGGGGGGGGGGGGGGGGGGGGGGGGGTCGCACTTTTCACATGGGGGGGGCCCCATTTGCTACTAAGGGCACTGCCTCCTCTTGGCCAGACAAGGTAGATCCATTAAAATCTGGAGGAACTGGGCCCCTCCTGTTCCCTGGGGGAATTACTCCAGGGCCCCAACTGCCTGCACAGTTTCTGTTCCAGCCGGTACCAGAGCCCCCATCATACCAGTACCATACAGCCAACCATCCTCACCGAGAAGGGCAGCAGAGCGCCCTACTGGACACTGATAACAGAAACTACACTTGAGAGAAACACCACAAGTACACTTTTTTCTTTTTTTAAGTCTGCGGAAGTGCGAAAAAAAAACGAAAAAAACCCGTAAGTGGACAAAAGACGTGCAAAACCAACACAAAACAGTGCACTTAGGGGTGTGCTTTAGTGTAGGACCTCTACCCTGATCCCCCGGGGGACTAAGGTTTCCACATGGTCCACCTGGCCAAAATACCTGGTTGACCCCTTTCCTTGTGGCTAGCCGAAGCCGACCACCAAGTACTAGGTCAGGGGGCTCTCCAGAAGAGAGGACCTCCCCCCCCCCCCCGGTACAGGGGAGGAAGGAACCACACATCCTCCCCTAGACTTCAGGCCTGAGGATCCACACCGTCCGTGAGAAAAACACACATATAAGTGAAAGTGACTCAAACGTGGAAGAAAAAATAAATCAAATAAAAAAAAAAAAAAAAAAAAAAAAGGTGGCCGTGCAATTGTGCACTGTCTGGCCCTGAAGCATAAAAATTGCCCTGGACTTAGCCAGAAGGCCGGGCCCTAAAAGGCGCAGTGCAGATAAAGTGTTTTGCAGTGCCCATTTCACACTTGGGATCCCATCCCCATGTGCTACTAAGAGCACCCCTGAGGCGACCACTGAAGGGGCACTGCTTTACGGACTCTCTGCCTCCCCGGCCCCTGGCCAGACAAGGTAGATCCGCTCAAACCAGGAAGAACTGGGCCCCTCTGGCTTTCCCAGGGAAACCAACTGCCTGTGGGCACCTCGGTTTCTGTTCCAGCCAGTAGTAACCATCAGAGCCCCCCCATCATTCTAGCAGGGGTACTATACAGCCAACCATCCTTGCAAAGCAAGAATGATGGCAGAGCGCCCCTACTGGGCAATGAGAACAGATTTTTTTTCTTTTTTTTTAATTTCGCGGAAGTACAAAAAACCCGCAAGTGAATAAAAAAAGTGCACTTAGAGGATACTA